GTAACCAGTGAAGTTGGTTTATGTTGCAAGTGAGACTTCTTTTCTCGTTTTCTTCATTTATTGGGAGAAAATAATTCAAATTCCCTCTTATAAATCTTTGACTAACCGTATGATCAAATACTTATTGTTCCACTTCCGAGAATATTTTGTTTTGTTTTTTTTTTTCTTTTACACTGCATTATAGTATTGCAATATCATTACTTGGTCCATGTAAAATGGTGTATTTTTTTTATATGTTGTATAGTCCAAATATGGTCTGGACTTCATTATATCCTATTGAGGTTGAGGTATAACTTAGAAACTTACTATTGCTCTTTTAAATTATTGGATGCAGGAAATTCTGGGCAAGGTTATACTCTTCATGTCATTAGTGTAGCTGCTGGTGAGGTATGACTACAGTTTAGACTACATGTCATTACTCTTCATGCAGGAAATTCTGGGCAAGGTTAGACTACAGTTTGCAAAATTGTCGACTGCAGTTTGCAAACTGTAAAATTGCAGTTGGCATTTTTGCACGACTAATTGTGAAGTTGAATATTTAAACATGTTCTTTTAAACTTGCATAGTGCCATTTTTTAGAACTAGTGATTGTGAAGTTGAAGATTTAAACATGTTCTTTTAAATTCTGGGCAAGGTTATACTTTTCATGTCATTAGTGTAGCTGTTGGTGAGGTGTGCATTATCTTAGTATTGAAATTTTCTCATGTTGAGGTATATATGTATTCAATGTTTTAATTGTATGAACACACAATTTATGTATAGAGTTTGATCTATCTTAAGAAGTTTTTAATTTTTATTGAAATTGTGTAGCATGACATGAAATGTATCTAAGTAGGTCACTCTACTGTCTTTGTAAAACTTTAAAGTTTTTGCACTATAACATAATCATGTGTTCTTTGTTATTTAATTGAGTGAAGAAAGATTCTTGATGGTGTGCAAACTGCAATATGCAATATGTAGTCTACAAAATTGCAGACTGTAGTTTGCAAACTGCAGTTTGTAATTTTGCAATCGGCATTTTTGCAAACTACAATCTGCATTTTACAAACTGCAGTCTGCAATTTTACAAACTGTAGTTTGCAAATTGTAAAATTGCTGTTGGCATTTTTGCACTTGTGATTGTGAAGTTGAATATTTAAACATGTTCTTTTAAACTTGCATGGTGCCATTTTTTAGAATTAGTGATTGTGAAGTTGAAGATTTAAACATGTTCTTTTCCTCTTTCTTTTGGATTAAATATTTAGGGTGTTTTTGTCTTAATCTTTCTTGAATTTACAATATATATGTGTCGTCATCTTTGAGAATATACATGAGAATTGAAGTTTTTTTTGTATTAATGGTTTTATAGGTTGTGAAAATGCAAGAGTACTTTTTTGGTAAAGCACAATCTGGAATGGAAGATGGTATGCATGATGGTTCTTGTTGTTAGGATTTTTTGAATGATTGGAAGGTATTAACTATTGCTCATAGTTAATTTTCCAGTCATCTAGGTATTATAATGTAAAAATGATAGGTGCATATTTGTTAAGCATATATAAAACTTTTTGTATATGAAGGTTTATATGTTACAAAATATGATATGATATATGAAGCATATTAGATTTTATGGATGTAAAGGATGTTGGGTGCCTACTTATTAGGCATATATGCAAACTTTTTGCATATGAAGGTTTACCATCAATAAAATGTTCTTTGGAATATTAGTGTATCATTGTTTATAATTTGTATTATTTAAATAACAACTATAACAGTTTTATATATGCTATAACAAACACATTGATAACACTTTCAAAATGTTATGGAAAATAATTTTGTAACATTTACTAAATGCAATGAATGATACTTTGGTAGCACTTTTAACATGTTATTAAAAACTCTTCTGTAGCATTTTAACAATGTTACGGAAAACTAAACTGTAACAGGTTAAGAATGTTACAAAAAACTTATTTATAGCATTTTAAGATGTTACAGAAAACTAAACTGTAACATGTTAAGAAAGTTACAGAAAACTTATTTATAGCATTTTAAGAATGTTACAGAAAACTAAACTGTAACATGTTAAGAAAGTTACAGAAAACTTATTTATAGCATTTTGAGAATGTTACAAAAAACTAAACTGTAACATGTTAAGAAAGTTACAGAAAACTTATTTATAGCATTTTGGGAATGTTATAAAAAAACTAAACTCTAACAGATTAAGAATGTTACAGAAAACTTATTTATAGCATTTTGAGAATGTTACAAAAAACTAAACTGCAAAAGGTTAAGAATGTTACAAAAAACTTATTTATAGCATTTTGAGAATGTTACTGAAAACTAAACTGTAACAGGTTAAGAATGTTACAGAAAACTTATTTATAGCATTTTTATAATGTTACAAAAAATTAAACTGTAATAGGTTAAAAATGTTACAGAAAACTTATTTATAGCATTTATGCAGTGTTACCAAAAATCATTCGTAACTACGAATAAGTGCTACAATATACTTAACAACAACATTTTATGACAGTTATTGAAATGATTAGTAACATGCCAAAAGTGTTACCAATGTCTGCTTTTTAGTAACATGGGCTGTCATAGCATCCTTAAAAATGCTATGAATTACCTACAGTAACACTTTTTGCATGTTACCATAGACCATTTTTGTTGTAGTGGGGGTTTGAGTTTTTGTTATTAGTTAAAAAGATGGAATAAACCTATTAAAGAACAAAAACAATTGGTGGAAGCATGCACATTGAAAATGCAACTAAGTTGAACTATAGGGAGATAATTACCAACATGGAAAATAAAATATTTTTTGGTAGATATTTTACATATAAAAATTATATATATTTGTGGATGTAGTTGTGGACTTATTGAAGAATGTTGATGCACATGTGATAATAGGGTCAGACTTGCTTGTTGGAAATACAAAATCTCATGTGCCATTTGTTTCATTCTGTGACACAGGGCCTACTCTTTCTCCTGCTCAAAACCATCAATTCATCCATACAACTCAAAACTTCTCCTCTTCAGTAAAAGCAATTGCAGCCATTTTACAAGAATTTGAACCGAATGAAGTTGTTCTTATATATGAAGATACCGAATATGGCCATGGGATCATTCTTTATTTGGTTGGTGTTTTCCAAGTGATCGACATTCGGCTAGGGCACATTAGTGCAATCTCTAATTCAACTAAAGATTTTGCAAATTTAAGAGAATTGAACTCATTGACAACCATGATGACAAGGTTTTTCATTATGCACATGAGTACTCCACAACTGTTTGTTCTTGCTTATAAGACAGGACTAATGATGAGTAAAAATTATGCATTGGCTTATGACTGATGTCTTGTCAAATTCATTAGATGCCATGGATCCTAGACCAATTGATTTGATGAAGGGCGTGTTAGGCATTAGGCCTTACATTCCCAACTCAAAAGATCAAGAAAACTTCAGGAAGAGATGGAATCAAAACCTCCATTTTATGAAGAAATTCTTCATGCATACAATTAAAAATCGATAGTATTGAAGCTTTAGCAACTTCACTCCAGCAAGCTTCCAACTCAGCATTGAATAGTCAAACATAGTTAACTGTTTTAGTTAACTATAGTTAGTTTAATTAAAGATTAGTTTAACTATAGTTAGCTGAAGTTAGTTAGGATTGATACTTGAGTTAGTTACTACAGTTGAGTTTGTATAAAATGTTGTTGTATAGTAGTCGATTGTAATTTTCTTGACAGTATAATGAAATCCATTTTCCCTGAATCCTCTCTCCTCAAAATCTAACATGGTATCAGAGCTACGAAATTATTTCTTGAATCTACAGCAGGAGATTTGTCAAATTCTTCTTGGAGTGTGTTTGATTCCACTGATGTGTTTGATAAAGCTCAAAATCTGCTTAAAATTCGACGATCTCTGTCAACCCAATTTAAAGATTCTAGCTTGATTTAATGAGTTGCTTCACTAATAATTAGCTAGCTCAACTCTTCTAATGGTCAGTTCGATCTACTAGCTCAATCTGTTAAATGTTCAATCACTTGATTTTACTCGATCTAGGTCAGTTTAACAAGTTCATCTGAACTTCTTTACGAGCTTTGTTATGAGATCTATTTCTTTTGCACTATTTTAGAAAAAATTATAGCAAATGATGAACCCTAGCAGTGAAATGACAATGAATCTTACGGATTCAAACTCTCCACTGTATATCCACTCATCGGATACTCCAAGTTCAATATTAGTAATAGAGCAACTCACAAGACCTGAAAATATAGTATCTGGAGTAGGGCTATGACAGTATCACTTAAAGCCAAAAATAAATTGGGATTTGTTGATGGTACATGCAAGAAACCAGCAGATATAACCCTAGGTACATAGTCGGAGAGATGTAATTCATTAGTTTTAGCCTGGATTTTCAATACAGTATCAAAAGAGATTTTCAATTTTCAATGGAATAGTTTATTCCACTAGTGCACATCAGGTGTGGCAGGATCTCCAAGAGCGGTACCACAAAATTAGTGGAACTAGAATTTATGGAATACAAAGGGAAATAGTTAACTTGACACAAGGAAATATGTCAGTTGCAATCTATTATAATAAGTTGAAATCCTTATGGGATGAATTGAGTTCATTGGTCAGCCTACCACCTCTAGATAGTGTAGCTGCCAAAGCTTATCTGATCATTTAAATCAACAAAAATTGCTACAATTCTTGATGGGGCTCAATGACAATTACTTTATGGTAAGAAGTCAGATATTATTGATGTCACCATTACCATCAGTGAAGTAAGCATACTCAGTTGTTAACCAAGATGAAAGCCAAGGGATTTTGGCAGGAACAAATAATATTGGCACAGATATGACTACTAACCTATATGCTCAGAACACTTAGAAGGGGCAAAATCACAATCCAAAATATAAGGGCAAGACGCCTTACATAGAATGTGACATCTATCACTTGCCAGGACATAAATGTGATACTTGTTACAAAATCCATGGCTATCCTACAGATTATAAAGGAAAAATGACTGGCTCTAAGAACATATCATCAGCAAATCAAGTCCAATCTGCACAACTGACTGTTCAAGCAGCTTCTGTTCCTGCCTCTAACACTCTTGCAGATTCAACCAAAGGTTCTCCTGGAACAATTCTTTCAGCTGAGCAGTATTCTCAACTTCTCTAGCTCCTTGGAAAAAAAAAATATGTCAGCTTCAGCAAATATAGCAGGTAACACAACTTCACTCTTATCTTGCTTACATGAAAATGATAGATGGATAATAGATTTCGGGGCAACTGACCATATGACCAATAGATTATCTAGCATAATCTCTCCTATTGATATGGAATGCAACCCAAATGTTAGTCTACCAAATGGAACCAAAACTAGGATTAGGCACACTGGTTCTGTACAATTGGATGACAAAATTACTCTTGATCATGTTTTACATTTGCCTGATTTTAAATACAATCTGTTTTTAGTTTCAAAATTCACTTCATCACATAATTGTGTAGTCACATTTTACCCTGATTTTTGCTTAGTCCAGGACCTTTGGAGTGGCAAGTTGAAGGGGATTGGTAAAAAATTCCAAGGCTTGTACTTTCATGTTCCTCTTACACAACACTTGTCACACATTCTTGATATTCATGCACTTGCCAAAATTCTTTCTTCAAGCACAATTTGTAATACAGTAGTGAATAAGGTTTCAGATTCCAGGTCAAGATCTGTATCTTCTAGTTTACTATCTGATTTTCATATTTGGCATCAAAGACTAGGTCATGTACCAAATCCTACTCTTAGACATATTAATAAAGCTTTGCCAATTGATGTTAATTCACATTGTTCAATTTGTCCATTAGCAAAACAAGCTAGAATACCACTTCCTTTAAGTCAGAGCATTTCACAACATCCCTTTGATCTTTTGCACCTAGATGTTTGGGGTCCTTATAAAGTACTTACCTATGGTAATGCTAGGTTCTTTCTCACAATTGTGGATGATTGTACTAGAGTAACATGGCTATATTTGATGCAATTCAAATCTGATGTGTTTCAAATATTCAAGCATTTTTTCATCATGATTAAAAATCAATTTTCCATTACACCAAAATCTTCAGATCTGATAAGGGTCTAGAATTTTACAATAAAAATGGTAAAGAGCTATTTTTAGACTTAGGCATTCAACACCAAAGTTCATGTGTTTACTCTCCACAACAAACTGGTGTTGTGGAGAGGAAGCATAGACATATTTTGCAGGTAGCTAGAGCCTTAAAAATTCAATCTCATTTGCCAGATTCACTTTGGGAATATTGTGTGCGCACTGCAGTATATTTAATAAATAGAATACCATCTTCTGTCTTAAAGGGTATTTCACCATTTGAGAAACTTTTTAACAAGCCCCCATCCTTACTTCATTTGAGGGTTTTTGGTTGCCTTGCTTATTCTATTGTCCTTACACCAAAAGACAAATTTTCTCCTAGGTCTATTCCCTCTGTTTTTGTAGGTTATTCTTTGGATAAAAAAGGGTATCTACTTTATAACTCATGTTGTTCAAGTCACTAGGGATGTTATCTTTTACGAAAACATTTTTCCCTTTAAGTGGTCAATCCTAAATATGTCCATTTTTCCTTTAGATTCATTTTTGGATGAAAATTCGTTTGATATGCATTCCAACTCAGAATCAGTTGTGAGTCCTAATCCTTCACCTAATCCATCACAGTCTATACCACATTCTTCTCCTGACCATGACACATTAAGTCCAAATTCCTCTCCTGAATCTACAGCCTTAATATAACCTATTTCTGCTCCCTTAAAAAGATCAAATAAACATACAAGACCACCTATCTGAATACTGATTTCACTATCCCACTATACCTTCTACCTTACAAACTCATTGTGTCCAGTATCCCATCTTGAATGTGTTTACCTATTCTCATTTGTCACCAATATCAAGCTGCCTTAGCAAATTATCCATTAACTGAACCTACCAGCTTCCCAAGCTTCCAAAGATCCAAATTGGGTTGAAGCTATGTCAAAGGAGATATGGGCATTAGAAGACAATCACACTTGGTCATTGGTTCCTTTGCCTCCTGGCAAGAATCCAATCAATGCAAATGGGTGTATAAGTAAAATTCAATGCTTTAGAAAGGTACAAAGTCAAGCTGGTAGCTAAGGGTTACACACAACAAGTAGGTATTGTATGAGGAAACATTTTCCCCTGAGGTTAAAATGGTGACAGTAAGAATCATCTGTCCATAGCTTTTATTCAAGATTGGCCTTTATATCATCTTGATATTGACAATGCTTTTTTGCAAGGTGATTTAACTGAAGAATATATATGTCTTGCCTCAAGGTTTTACTAACCCAACAAATAAGAATGTTGTATGCAGACTCCACAAATCATTATATGGTTTAAATAGGCTTCTGTTTACCAGAGCTTATAGGAAATCTTCTTTACCTATGCGTGACTAGACCAGACTTGAGCTATTCTATCAACTTACTGAGTCAGTTTATGCATGCTCCTAAGCAATCTCATACGCGCGGCAGCTTTGAAGATTGTAAAGTAATAAAATTTGCTCCTGGTTTAGGTTTCTTTTTTCCATCGATGGCTCTTTGAATCTCACTGTCTATTGGATTCAGATTGGCCTCTTCTTGCTTACCAAATATATGTTACTAGCTTTTGTTTGTTTTTTTGGGACATTCTCTTTTATCTTGGAAATTTAAGAAACGGGTCACTGTTTCAAGGTCCTCTTCAGAGGCTAAATACAGGGCAATGGCCTCTACAATTTGTGAAATTGTGTGGATAGTGCAGTTACTTTCAGAACTGGGTTACCCTCTTCTTCTCCTATTCCCTTGTTCTGTGACAATCAATCTATATTGCATATTGTTCCATGAGCACACAAACACATTGACATTGACTGTCATCTTGTGCGTGAGAAGATTCAAGCTAGCATCATTACTACCAAGTATGTTCCCATCAATAGGAAGAGAGCAACATTCTCACCAAAGCCTTTGGCAGTCAGTTGCATCATCATTTTCTGTCCAAGTTGGGAGTGTTTAACCTTTATCACTCACCAACTTGAGGGGGGGTATTGAAGCTTCAACAACTTCAATCCAACAAGCAGCTTCCAACTCAGCATTGAATAGTCAAACATAGTTAACTGTTTTAGTTAACTAGAATTAGTTTGAAGATGTTTAACTATAGTTAGCTAAAGTTAGTTAGGATTGTTACTTGAGTTAGTTACTGCAGTTGAGTTTGATAAAAGGTTGTTGTACAGTAGTTGATAAGAGTGTAATTTACATATTTTTTATCCTATCATATTATGTTTTTGTTATGTTTTATGCCTAATTGAGTTTATTAGAGTTTATTGTAAGTTTGGCATATTTGGATAGACTTTAGGAAATATAAGAAAGATTAGGAAATTCTAGATTTTCCAGATTTTTCGTTATTCTGACCAGTGCTGCTGCGTTTTCAGGTTTTTCATGGAGTCAGACTTCTCGATTGCAAAAGTGTCCTTCAGAAGAAGTAAATTTGACAAATCAAGCTTTCCAGGAAGGTATTATGGGCGAAAATCCAAGTTCGTTTGGGTTCTCAGTAGTCGTTACAAAACCGGACCTGGAATCCTAGTCATGGTAGGATTTCCTGGCTGAGCATTGAATCTTTGAAGGGCCTAACTGGAGCGTCAGATATCAAAAGTGGGTGATTCAAAAGCACAGATTCATCTACACATCTGGGACTACAATTTTTATGAAGTGACTGAGCCCAGAAAAGAAATTTTACATTGCAAGATCCTGGTGCAAGCTGGAGACGAATTCTGGAATCCATATCTGAAAGATTTTGTCAAATCTGGAAGTCTATCTTTAGGAAACGTCTAGGAAAGATTTTCCGTGATTCCTGGGGTAGAATTAGGAGAAAAACATGTTATTTATTCAGGAGTGTTAGGTTAACCAGGGGAGAAGAGAGACAGCAGTAGTTTTTAGTTTTTTTTCGGTTTTTCTTTACTTTCTATGTCAAGATGTGAGGCTGATCTTCTTCTTCAGTTCAAGGGGATTTTGAACCCAAATTCATGCCATTGGTGTAGCCTAACTTCAGTAACATTGTTCTAATCTGTTTTTATTGGAATTGTTTATGTTATTCTGTTTTAATTGTTTTATAATTTTCTGTTTGGGTGATTTAGTATGGCCTGCTGAATTATTTCATCGAATTTTATCTGTTAGAGTTAGGAATTGTGATTTGTAATTGTCCTTTTTCTATTCAACGAGTGACACATGATGATAGCTGATTATGGACAAGTTTTCGGTCTATTGTCTGATAACATAACCTAAGTTAAATAATCCGAGCTTGTATGATTGTTGCTTAGATTGATCTATTCTCCTAATTTAAGGCTGCCATTGAATTAAATTTAGAGAGCTTGTTCTAGGTTGTTCAAGGGTTAGTATCTACTGAAAGAGCTTATTTCAGTAGTGACAAACTAAGGGAGAATTCGGGTAACAGAGCTGTTGTTTCCTAGGGTCAGTAGTTCCACAATAACAAGAGAAACAGTGTTACGGCTACTTATGCCATGCATGTTTAGGTGGATCTTGAACCGAGAACTAATTGTTTTAATTTGATATTTTTACCATTTGAGATTTCTTTGTTTACTTAGTTTGCGTTGTCTACAACCCCCTTTCATTACCGTTGTCATGTTTACTGTTTAGGATTTATTTGTTTTGTTATTTTTGTTGTGGTTATTGGATAGAAATAGGAATAATCGAACCATTCCCTGTGGGATCGACCCTTACTTACCCTATATATAATTCAGTAGTTAGGTTAGGAAGGTTATTAATTTGGAGCATTCGGCACGCTACCAGTAGTCGATTGTAATTTTCTTGGCAGTATAACGAAATCCATTTTCCCTAAATCCTCTCTCTTCGAAATCTAAGAGGCAGCATACTACCCGTGATGAATTATATTCATGGCCTAAATTTTTACCAAGTTATAAAAATTGCAAGTAAACACACTAAAACAACACTTTCTTTTTAAGCCCTGAGGGCGGAGGAGGAAGGGGAAATTATTTGCCGGACCAAAGACATAATGAACTTCGGATATTAATTCACATTGCACCATTAGTAAAAAAAGATCATAAAATCTCCTTTTTTCTCTTTTCCACTCACAACCTAGTTTGAATTTTTTGCTTGCAGAACATCTCTTCAAGATTCACTTTATTCATAGTGAGATGAAACATCAAGAAAACAAAGGTAATATTAGACTTGTACAAACATCAACTCAACTAAGACTCCAATTTCAATCCAAGCCCAAAATCCAACTTTTTAAAGTAGGTTTTTGGGACATGGAGCTCTTCCACCTCTAAAAAAAACATGAAGAACAAAATGATTTTTCCTGAATACCAAATCAATCATTTGGCGTGTTGACCAAATGTTGAAAGTGGCAGTTTTGTAAATAAACACAAATGTTATGCTGTTTGTGTAATTAGACGCAGCTGAGTAATTAGGCGCAGATGTTATACGGTGTAGTTTCATTTTCTTTATATAATAGAAGAAATTGTAAACTCAATATCAATGAATACTTTACGCTACTGAATCAGCTTTACTCTCTGGTTCTTCCTTTTTTTACAAATTCTTTCGTTTGTTTTGACTTGGTATCAGAGCCACTGACTAAGTGTCAATGGCAACTGATTCTGGTTCGGCAAACTCTCTTAAAAGCATAGAAGAGCTTCTAAGAGAGTCAATCGATCGTTCTACTTCGCATTTGATCAAGGAATCTTCAATCGTGGAATTTCAGTTTTACCTTCCAGTTTGCAAACCATTAGTCCAAAGCTCACAAGAAACAACTATCGATTCTGGAGCTCACAGGTTCTCTCGCTGAGGATCGCATGAATTGGAGGATATCTCATTGGTAAAGTTCCTGTCCTTCTCCTTTACTTGTATCGAACTCAGATATTGAAAATGAGTTAGGGCAAATTAGAGGTGAACTTAAGTTAGGTGATGATTTGGCTAGTATAAGGTGAATCCTGCCTATATCTTATGGAAGCGCACAGTAAGTTCCTTGTCAGTTGGCTTTTAGCTTCCATTTCTGAAAGTATGTTGGAGTAATATCAAAATGTAGGATATCAACTGATATTTGGAATACCTTGCATCTTGAGTTCCTAAATGATTCTAAGGCTAGAGCTTTACACCTTAGAACCTATTACAAACACCAAAAAGCGAATATGAGTTTTTTATGTTAAAAGGATGAAGGAAATAGCGAAAAGTTTATCGGCTAGTGGATTGATTGTGGCTGATGAGGATTTGTTGCAGTACGTATTAGATGTTTAGGACCAGAATATGATGCAGTTATTGTCAATTTAACCTCCAGACTTGAGTCCAAAGTTGATACGTGTCTCTGCAGGAAGCTCAGTTTCTGTTAAAAAATATGAGCTTAGGTTGGAAACTTAATACAACAGATTTGTATAACAATTCTGTAAATGTGGCTCACTTCATCACACTGGAACTCTTACTGATGTCACTAATCCAACTTCCTTCCACTCAACATTTCAATACAAAAACTTACCTAACACACTACAAACATCTGACACAAATCTATTCAATTCCTTCAGTGTCACAGGAAATCCACACTGTCAACAGAATTATGCCATACTGTTGCTGCTGCTTACAATGCTGGACTAGAACACCAACCTCAATTTACCTACAACACACACATTCACTCAAGACCTCCCTTTCAACAGTATGCAGAGGAAGAGCAGAAACTTTGGAGGAAAGGCTAATCTGTCAGGTGTGTAATAAGGCAGGACATTC